TGGATGTCAAATTCTAAAGTCAAATGTTCAAAATGAAGCTTGTGTGCTAGACATTTTCTGATGAAATACTAGTGTATACATGCTTGATATCAGAGGTTGGTTAAAATGATAAGAAAGATTTTTTGAAGGGTTTAGAGGAGACTGAGATGGCTTCTTGGGCACATCATTCCTCATACAATCATCAATGAAGATGTAATATGTGAATGTCAATGTGAAATATGATATACCCAAAGGTTACCCCGTTTGGTGTTTGGGAAAAGGAATGTGAGGGAATAAGTTATGAATCAAGAAGTGAGAATGTCATGTGAGATTCAAAAATTGCCCCAATTTTGGTGGTAATAGATTTATGAAATTCAGGGCGAACCAAAATCATGCGAGGCCCAACAAGGGACGCCCCGGTCTTTGTATGAGCTTTGAATATTCAGATGAAAGATTAACAAAGTCGCCCAATATTTTGAATGGGCCAAAACACATGAAACTCACAAAGTTGCCCCTAGTTTTGGAGAACGGGGAAGAGTTCGAATGGGATATGAATTTGTGATGGATATGAAAATGATTGGCTTGAAAGGATTGCCCCAATTGGCTTGATTTTCTTTTAATCATTAGGGAGTTTCCTTCTTCCGAGGACATTTATTTTTTCATCATTTTTTATGACTGCATTGTTAGTCATTTTGTCTTGTCTCAAAATTAAGCTTCATGAAAATTTAGGCAACCATTATTCAATCTGTGTGGACTTTTATTAGGCTTGTAATGTGGCTTGGGCTAAAGGGTATTGAAATAAAAGATATAAAGGCCCAAATAAATGTTTGGTGATTTTTTTTTGAAACCAGAGTTACCATCTACACCTTGTATCAGCTATTCGTCAAATCTGTTTTGACTTTCTTTGCTATTTCTCAAATTTCATTCTTTGTTTGTCATCACTTTGTGATTCTTTCTATTTTTTTCTTTATTTTTGATGAATTCTCTTCATTTGATCACTAAGTGTGTTTTTCATTGTTTGCAATTTGAGTTGACTTCAATGCTGACGGTAACCCTTGTTTAGGTAAATTTGAAAAGAAATTTCTTATTGACTCAAATTTGGTATCAATGGATATTTTTTTTTGGATGAAGAAAGATGGCCACACATCATTTCAAATTTTGGTTGTTTTATTTTCACAAGATTAATTAGAAGACAAAACTAAATGATCCCAACAAGAGTCACTCATTTTTTTTTGTTTTGTCCTAACGGATTCAAGGATCTCCCAAATGAAAGCTAATGAAGGTAATCTTAACATGGAAAATCTGCCCCAGTGTAAAACTTTGTGTTCATTATTTAGGCTCAAGAACATGATTGGGTCAATCTCTTGGTATAGAGAGCTGAAGGATGATGTTTTCAAGCAATGCACACAGATATCTCTTAAGAATATGTGATTTAATCATTTGACTACAGGAGATTATGACATCCATTACATTTTTTTTTTTTGAAATCTCATAAGATGGATGATTTGCATCGAAAATAATTGACTCAACTTTTGCGTATTTTTGTTTGTTTTATGCATGAAGAAAAGTAATATGAAATGAAAATGATGATACTAGTTGAAAAACAATTTTTTTTTATATACCTTTTTTTTTTGAAATTAGGCTTTGCGGACTATTGTGGAAACTGGGCTTTGCGGGCTAGTGTGGAAACTAGGCTTTGCAGGCCAGTATGAAAAATGGGATTTCTCGGCCAATGCGGAAACTGGGCTTTGCGGGCCAGCATGGAAACTGGGCTTTGCAGGCCAGTATGGAAAATGGGCTTTCTTGGCCAATGCGGAAATTGGGATTTCTAGGCCAATGCAGAAACTGGGCTTTGCGGGCCAGCATGGAAACTAGGCTTTGTAGGCCAGTGTGGAAAATGGGATTTCTGGGCCAATATGGAAAATGGGCTTTGTAAGTCAGGCGGGCTGGACTTTGTGGGCCAACATGGAAAATGGGCTTTGTGGGCCAATGTAGAAAATGGGCTTTGCAGGTCAGGCGGGCTGGACTTTGTAGGCCAGTATGGAAAATGGGCTTTGTGAGCCATTGTGGAAATTGGGATTTCTCGGCCAATGCGGAAACTGGGTTTTGTGGGCAGTATGCAAACTGGGCTTTGGAGGCCAAAAAACTGATATTAGAAAGTTTGATTTTTTTGTTTAAAATATTTGAAGAACAAAATGTGTTTTTTTTTATTTCATCATTTTAAATTTATTTGCAAAATGTGAAAAAAATATTTAGAAGAAAAACTCTTTTTTTTTATTTTTTAGAAATAGAATTTGATGAAAATTATGTACGTAGCTGGGCCCAAATGGGCTTAAAAATTGTTTGAACATTTTTTCATTCATTTTTTTTTCATTTTGAAAATTTGATTTTTTTTGTTTTTATTTCTTTATTATTTTTTTTTGACGTTTTTATTAATTAAATTTTTTTTTAAGAAAGGATGACCGGCACTGTGACATCAGACGGTGGCAACGACCGGAACTGTTGCTACAGTGGATTTGTTTTGGCTACAAAATGGGTATCCCTTCAGCGTCGAGCGACATTTCCCGAGCTTACGCTTTCTCTCTCTATCTTTCTCTCTCTTGATTGTCCGAGTTCCGCGAGGCTCCTCCGTTCCCGTGCCTCCGAAAGCGTCTGAGTCTTGCGAGGAACTTCTCCCTGTGTGCCTTCCACCTCCGGGTAAGTCTTCTGAGCTCTTAATCTCTCTTTCTTTCCTTTAAGTTTTTTCGTTCTTCCTTTCATTTAAACTTTCCGCTCTTCCTTTCTTTCTTTCTTCCCTTTTACCCTTTCTCTGCTTTTCTTTCCTTCACTCAGTTCGCTTTTCTTTATGCTCTTATTTTTTTCTTCTTTCCCTTAAGTTTTTCCTGCTTTTTCTTTTATATGCCTTCCATTTTATTTCGCTCCCTTATGCTTTCCTGATTTTTTTGGCTCGTTTTTTGCTATTGCTATACCACTCTTCACCTTTTTTTTATACTAAACAAAATAATAATGAACTGGAAAACTTGTTAACTTCATTCCAAGGTAACCTAAAAGCAAATTATGGACAAAACTGGTTGGACCTAGACCTAGTAGGATCCTTTGCAAGGACCTAGATGACATATCTAAACTGGACATATGGACAAATTAACTAATAACATTGCTTCACTCTTTTTTTTTTAGAAAAATGAACCAAAACTTAAGAAATCTTGAAGTTCAGGACAGAATTGGGTACAAACGATGGGCTCCCATTAGGGAACAGGTCGCCTTGTTAGAGGCACTTTTCGCATTTGGGATAAGAAACCCAAACCGAGAACAAGTTCATGAAATCGCGACCAGGCTTAAGGTTTACGGGGAAATCGGGGAATACAGTGTCTACTGTTGGTTCCAAAACTATGGATATCGTGAAAAACAGCGATGTCTGAAACGAAACACCGTCACCACCTCTTACTCTCCGATTCCCCTCCTGCCCCCTTTTATGGATGGTAAGCCCCCCTTTTGTATATTTTTTGTTATTGTTTTCTTTTTTTCTTTTTTTTTCTTCTTTTTCTTGACATTTCTAATTTTTTTTTTTGTTTTTTTATTTTTGAGATCTTTCACGCACAACGCCATCGGTTCCAGATCGGGTGACGCTGGACCTTTTCCCGATTCCTCCCGTTCCTGAAAGAAAAGAGATCCCTCCCATCTTTCGGTTCCAGTTGAAGGCTCCTTCAGTTGAGCTTTCCCTACGACCGCCTTCAGATGATGATGATGATGAATAGTCTCTTTGAGGGGACCGCAAATTGTAATTTGATTTTATTTTTTATGTTGTTGTTTTTTATTTAGACTGTAATCCTAACGATCACTAGTGATCGACCTCTGCACATCTTTTATTTTTATGTTTGTTATGATGTTTTTTTTTTGTTTTTTCTTTGTTTTTGTTTTTTTTGGAGGACTGTAACCTTAACGATCATTATTGATCGATCTCTGCACATCTTTTATTTTTATGTTCGTTTTTTGATTTTTTTTTGGTTATGTTTTTTTTTTCTTTTTATGTCTTTTCTGTCGATGAATGGTCTTCTCAGGGAGACTGCAATTGTAAATTTTTTTTTATTTATCACAATTATAAGACCGTTTTAGTGTATTTGTTTTTTTCAATAAACGTATTCATATTGGTATCTCTGTCCAATTTTCCTTCCTCTGTAAATTTTACTCTGATGATGAAATGAATTAGATCTTATTATGTCTCTTTTTGATTTGGTCTAAACGTGATAAACAAAATTTTCAAACGATCACTTGTATGAAACAATGAAGAAATGGGCTCAGGAGAAAAATAATAATTTATATTTATTTACAACGAAAGAAAGTAAAGGAAATTTGACTCCGAATAAAGAAAATAGGATCTGAAGTAAAAATCCTGAGCATGATAAACAAAATTTTTGACCCATTACGCGTATGAAACAATGAAGAAATGGGAAGAGAGGACCAATGAACTCGTAAAAAAAAAAAATCAAACAATATGAATTTCGATGATCCCTTTTTTTAATTTTTTTTTTTGAAAACACACTAAGCAACGACTTAAAAATATGATCTCAAGGTTTTTTATTGGAAAATATATACATGAGAAAAAATAATTTTCATTGGAAAGGAAAATATTGCATGTTTGAACAAAAATGTTTTATCGAATTTTTTGTTGTTTTTTTTTTAAGGATAACAGTCTGCGTTTTATGCAAAATGACGTCGAGAAATTCAAAACAATGATCTATTTGCCCCCACAATATGTACAATTTATTAATTTTTTTTTTCAAAATTTTTCATGCCCCAAAAATATTATAATTTTTTTTATATTTTTTAGAATGATACTGAGAATTTAATTAATTATGAATTCAAATTTCATTTATTTGTTTTCATATTTTCTCCTTTTTTATTTTTTTATTTATTTTTTTTTAAAAGAAATATGACACATTTATTGTAAAAATAGAAAAGAAAGACCGACTTAAACAAATAATCTCTCTTTTGTGCCTTATCAAAGGTTGAGTGACTTTAAAGTTCTAAGGCCAAATATATGCACTCACAAGGATAGCTTCCTAACTCTGAAATCAAGGCCACCAGAGCTATGGCTCTTTTCACTGTCTCTCCACAATAGTCAGAGTAATCAACTAGATGTGGAGACACAAATGAAGAGAACATACTCTAGCTGGAGTTCTCACGATAGCCAGACAGGAAGTACATCCCAGAGTGACACCGCTACACAACCCCTCTATTTCTAAGTTGCGCTCAGACCCGGGTATAGGGCCTCACTCATGATATGCATATTGTGTGGAGGGAGATTATAATGAAAAACAACAATTGCCAAAATAAACACAAATAAGTAGACATATCAAACATAGATAAGGAACAATTATTTCAAACATAAAGAAAAAGTAAAAGAAACTCACATGCAATTATTCAAAATATCAAACATAGATAAGGAAAAAGGAAATAAAAACACAAAGAAAAACCACATCGAATTCGCTTATCTAATTAAATGGCCTGACTCTCTGACGTCCCCAGTGGAGTCGCCATCTGTCGCAACCGGAATCGCGACGGGACGACGATCCGAAAAAATCAAAAGACGTTTTTTTAAAAAAAGAGATTTGGAGTCGCCACCATAGTTTATTCTGGAAAACTACGGAAAAACCATAAAATAAAGACTGGTCTACCGAAACAAAAGATTATGGATTCGGGAGTCGGTTACACGTAGGGAAGGTATTAGCACCCTACAGTGTCTGCCCAAAAGCAGTAGCTTTAATTAAATGCAAATATGGATGTGGTTTTTCAAAGTGTTTAACTTATCCCCTAAAATGAAAACTCTAAAGAAACAAAATATATTTTTTAGCCTTTTTTGTGAGAAAATTTGTTTGAGCAATAATTATGGATAAATTTGGATTTTGGGAAGATGAACCTGACAAGGTCTGCCTTTCTCCTACGTTTTTTATCTCCACTTTTGATGGAGGGAATCAAGGATCACATAGTTCTGGCTAAGATATTGTTAGGTTTTTTTGAAGTTTTTTATATTTTTTTTGGTATTTTTTTTGAGAAAAGAAGGTGAGTTGAAATATCTATGACTAAGATGTGGAAAAGCATAGGATTATAAAATTGTGGTAGAAAACAGGATAAATTATAAACAAAAAAAATGATCAAAATGCATATAAATAGAATGGAAAAGAAAATGTGTACCTTGTTGAAGATTTTGAATGTTGAAGCAAGACTTTGCTGTAATAAGTTGTGAGAAGAGATGATGATGTGTGAAGAAGATGAATTTCTAGTAGAAATGTGGTAGGGATTTACTATGTATAGAGGGATTAGGAAATAGTAAAATGTGAGAGCAAAATGAAGTAGAGTTTTGGGATGGAATGAAGAGAGATTTGTAAGAGAAGAGATGGAATGTGTAATTTGTGGTTGTGTGTGTAAAAAAATGGAGTGAATGATAATGTGGGTATTTATAGAGTAAGGATGAAGAAAAGTGATGAATTGAATAAAAATAATATAATATGTTGGTGGGAAAATTTAGATGAAATAAAATATAATAAAAAAAGATGAATAAAAAACGTTAATGTGGAAAATAAGTGAAATAAATAATATAAAAAAGTTGGTGGAGAAAGAATTAGGTGAAAATAAAAATTATAGTGAATAGTAAAAGTAATGTGGAAAAATAAAGTGAAAGAAAAATAATATAATTAAAAAAGTTTGGTGGAGGAGAAAAGAATAGGTGAAATAAAATATAGTGAATAGTAAAAGTTAAGTGGAAAATTAAGTGAAAGAAATAATATAAAATTGGTGGGGAAATTAGGTGAATAAAATATAGTGATTAGTAAAAAGTTGTAATTGGAAAATAATGAAAGAAATAGAAAAAAGTTGGTGGAGAAATTAGGTGAAATAAACTATAGTGAATAGTAAAAGTTAATGTAGAAAATAGTGAAAGAAATAATATAAAAAGTGGATGGAAAAATAAGGTGGAGAAAAATGGATAATGAAAAAATGTTGATGGAGAAGATATAATTAAAAAATGTAAGTGGAATAATTAGAAAAGTTGGTATATAAAAATTAATATGGAAATGAGGTGGAAAAAGTGAATGAAAAAGGTAGATGATGTGGAATGTGATATGGAGGGTGATGTGGATGATGATGTGGAGAGTGGGGTGTGGTAAGAGAAAAGGGGTGGTGAGGAAGTAAAAAAGTTTGGGATTATTTTGGGCCATTGGATTAAGTGTTTAAAAGAAAATTTGGGGGTACAAAAAGTAAAATAAATAGTATTTTTTCATTTTGGTGTTTTTATGTTTTTTTTTATTTTTGTGAAATCTTATTTACCCGGACGAAATTGGGTATTGACAAAGGGCAACCGAATGCTGACTACGACGAGTACTAGAACGACCGTTCAGATAGTATGACCGAACGTTACTTATATGAACGCTATAGAACACTCAGATGGATCACTATTAATCCTGACACCACTAGGACGAACGTTTTCAATGCATGACCGAACGATACTAAATTAACTTCTGACCGATCGGTACTAATTTAATGCTTAAACGAACGGTATTAAATTCGCACCCAACCGTAGGGTATCGATTGAAATCTCGAACGAACGTTACCAAATTAACACCTACCGAACGGTAAAGATACTGGTCAATAACGAACGGTTGATCATAGAGGACGAACGGTCGTATGCTGGAACACTGAGGCCAGGATGACCGAGCGGTGAGATCGAATGACCAAAAACATGTGAGGCCGAACGGTTAAGGACGAACGCTAGTGGTCAGTGATGGCCGAACGGTATATGCTCTACATGTTTTTTTCTGATCAGTCGGTGCAACACAAACCGTTCGGTAGTGACTTTGGCAGACCGTTCGTTGACGCTCGGTTTGTAGTGATCAGCCTAAATGCAAGCTTCAACAGACTGCTCGGTACTCATTCACCGCCCGTTCTGCCAAGTCATCAGAAGACCGTTCGGTCATGACTCAACTTCGGTGACCGTTCGGTATTGAACAGACCGTTCGGTATTAAGCTGACCGTTCGGTCAAGCATATGTATGCACTAAGTTTTTAAACAGTGAGTGCCCTGCAAAATAGTCATTTGAAATAATTAAGCCCAAATAATTCAAATTAATTAAAATAAGAATTAGTCTTGAAATTAAGCCCAAATAGTGAAAGTGAGACAAAAATGGAGAATTAAACATACTTCACTAACAAAATATGGTGCGTAAAGCTAAGTGTATAGTGTAAAATGGTGACTCATCACACATCCTATCTCTGTATCTTAGGAGACCGTCCATTCCCATATTGAAGTCTTTTGCTTTGTCTGTGCCAATCAAACTCAAGATGTTTTGTAGTTCTTCATCAGCCGATTGCTGCTTCTTGATTCGTTCAAAGACGTCACTAGATTTTCTAAGGTTACAGCACCTTATACCGCTCGGTTCTAACTCGAACTGTAACTTTAAATCTCTAAAGCTCTCAACCAAACTGAGTTCTTTGACCATAATAGAAGAAATATGGACAGTCTTTCTGCTTAATGCATCAGCCACAACGTTCGCTTTTCCCGGATGGTACAACAGTTCAAACTCATAGTCCTTTAAGAATTCCATCCACCTTCGCTGCCTCATATTCAATTCCTTTTGATCAAAGAGATATTTCAAACTCTTATGATCACTAAACACTTGAAACCGAGCACCATATAAATAATGCCTCCAAATCTTCAAAGCGAACACCACTGCTGCTAATTCTAAGTCATGAGTTGGATAATT